GGGGGGGGGGGGGGGGAGGGAAATCAGCCTCTTTTTTTTGCCCTGACTGTGGTTACACATTGCCATCGGATGCTGCACTCATACACTGCATTTATAGGATCAGCATCCTACCCAGAACTGACGCCCACACCACGCTGTCAGACTGCAAGTTAAATACCCACGTGTCTGGGAGGTGTCTAGTGAGCATCTCCGCAGCCAGACATCCCAACCCACCTCTTGGAGCAGCTGTAGGAACATTCTACACTCTGCCTGGTAAAAAAAAAACACACAAGAATGGGCTGTGGTGGGCTAGTCAAACTTATTTTTCCACATCCTACACTTATCCTCAAATTAAAAGCAGAGACAGCAAATCAGTTTGGATAAACAGAGGCCCCATCTCAGGATTTTCAGCACAATCTCCAAACCAAGAGAGGTTCAGAAAAAATTGCTAGACGGATCTGAGCATCTCAGGCTCTCCCTTGGCCAGCCACAAGAGCCTTAAAAGTTTTGGTTTCCACCCAAAGGTGCCCCATCTCCAGCTCACAGTTTAACCAGGATAAAAGCCAGACTGTGCTCCCACTGCCCTTCCCCAGCAGGGACGGGCAGTGCCAAGCATCCAGCCGGGTGTGATTGTGGGGGCATTGTTTCTGAGGCATTTGCTACATGGTTTTTGGAGTGTTTTTTGTTCTATAAAGTTTCATCTCTGAGGCATGTCCACATATTGCTGCGTTGGTCCTTTCCCTCATCTCTCCTGCTGGGACAGGTTATGGTCTCATGGTTTGCAGAGGTCTGGCTCCCCTCTGGGTTCCTAGGCAGTCTCTGGTTCACCCCATAGGGCAATCCCACATGGATGCAAGGGAGATGGGCGGCCCACGGGCAGCAGGGCCAGGGTTGTCCCCCAAAAACCCCCACAGGATGGGGAGGGGGTCCAAGAAGGAGCAGGGCTGGCACCTGACATGGGGCACAGACTGTCCAGGTGCCAAACCTGCGGCCAACACCTTCTGGATTTGAATCAGGTGCCCCTTCCTTATCTGCTGTTTGCAACTCAGTAAACAGGGACAGACCTTCCTGCTCAAGCTCCTGCCAAGGTGACCCAGGGCAGGGACACTTTTACAACCAGAGCAGTGCATCGGCCTCTGCCCACCTGCATGAAGAACAGAGCCTGCTCTGGAGCATGCACCCTGTGATTGCTCTGAAAAGCCATGGTGCATCAGGAATAGATTCAGCTCAGGACTTTTCCACCCTGAGAAGTCCTGCAAAATTGACTATTTTCTGCAAAATGTACAAACTGGCTGTTTTAAGCAGGGGTGGGGGGAGACCTCTGGGCACAGTACACAGGCACACAACCAGTGGCCCAGCTCGAGGGACACTGCACATGGGATTGTCCCAGCCCCTGCTCTTCCCCACAGAGACATCCCTGGGTTGCAGCACCCATGGAATACAATGGTATTGCCTGGGGGGAGCCCAATTTACCTAGCAGGTGTTTCCACCCAAATTACCCCCCTTTCAGAGCAGACAGCAAGCAGGGCAGTGTCAGTTTGGGCATCTCCACGGTGTCTCCCATTTTCAGAATAGCTGATGTCCCCCCACAGACCTCACAGGAATGATATCACTCACCCAAATGCCAATCACAACATTTATTTTTATTATTATTTCCACAAACTGTAATTTTATCTTTGAGAATATTTCATGTAGACACAGAGAGGGGCCCTGGGATTCACTTCCTCGCCCACACCAGCTGCATACCAGCTGCCTGGGTCTCGTTTTTACCCACAAACACTTTGTGCAGTGTTTATTGATGCCTCACAGCACACGAAACTCAGGCTCAGCACCGCATTCACAGAGCAGCAGGGTCTTCTGTGGCCAGTGAACTCCCTTTCCCTTGAGAATTTTAATTTCCTCTCCAAGAACTGCCAGGTTCAGCCCGTGCAATTCAACGACCTCAGTTTAACTCAAAGAACACCAATTTTTGACAAATATCTGTTTAGTGACCCAAAAGATCAAACCCTGCTTCCTCCTCACCTTAAGTTTACAAGGCAGTTACTGGTTTATGCTTTGCTTTTATGGCTGTAAGAGACCCAGTCAGACTATTTCAAGTGTTGTACAATGCAATAACCTGGGAGTTGCTCAAGCCTACCCACATAATGGTCCTGACTTTCTGTAAGTTTCCTGGCAATATAAGATGACCAGCAATTTATGCAAAAGCATTAGTTTTTTTTCCCCACACTGAGCCACTGATGAAGGCTTGAAACATTTTGGGCTCTCCCAGGAGACTTTCAAAGCTATTCCCAAAGGAGCTCAGGGATTCAGACATCTTGCAAGACCAGCTTGCAATGTGTTAAAAAAAAATAAAAATCTCATCCTGCGGTAGGGACCAAACGGGCAGGACAAATGCTGGGTGAGATAAGCAGCAAAATCCTCCACACCAAGAAACCCACTCTCGGGAGAGGGGCTGCAGGGACCTCCTCGAGCCCCTGTCTGTGGCTCAGGCACAAGGCTCAGAGTTGCTCTTCTCCCCTTCCCTCTTCTGTCGCCGTTCATCACCCTCCACATGAGCCGCCACCCTTGCCTTGGGTATCTTATATTTGCTCTTCTGCCTGTAAAGGAGGTTTTTCTGGAAGAATCGTGGGATGTTGCCTTGGTGCAGAATGAGTGCAGCGAGCATCCCTGAAATGAGAGCATGGACCCCTTCTGTGTGCTGCATCAAGCATCTCCACCCACCCTACAGCTGAGCAGTGATTTTCAGGTCCTTGCCACAACCTTCATCATGGCCAAAAAGTAGCTCAGCACCACTGAAGTCTCCACTAACAGCTGGAAGAACCTTGCTATATTACTTTAAGGATAAATTTAACCATTGTGTCCTTAATGTAATAAGCAAGGCTTATTTAGACCCAAAAGGGCCATAAACCACACCACCAGTCTTCTGTCCCCACTCTCTGCATTTGAGGCAGCATGTGTCCAGCTCCCCATGGTCATCCTGAAGCTGTGGACAATCTCAACACCATAGTTCAGCCTATGGTTGCTCTAAACCATCTTTGCTTTGATTTCCCCCAAACTTTAGCCTCAGGGAGAGTTTTGCCTATGTCCTATGCTATCCAATTTTCAAACCAATTTCTACAAAGAGATGAGTCAGGAGTGACAGGAAAGTGAGGCAGAAAAGGACACTTGTCACTGGCAAGACCCAAGTTCAGGTCTTTGCCAGGAGCAGTTTGTATAATGTTCGGCCTTTCTGCCTTGCCCATTGCCCCCCATCCCAGCCCCTGCCCTCCAGTACCTCCCAGGCAGATATCACCTGTGAGGGGCCCCAGCCAGTAAACCTGGATGTAGTCCCAAAAGGTGCTCCCTGAGCAGTGGAAGGTGGTGGCTGTGGCCAGGGCAGGGTTGAAGAAGGCCCCCGTGAATGGTCCAGCTGCATGGGAAGAGAAACATGGCCATCAGTCTCACTTGCATCCTTTGAAAAACCAACAAAGTGCTGGGCCAGGAGACTCATGACCTCTCCTGCCGGTCAGGACCATCTCCGCTGTTGCCCAGCTCCAGAGCTGCATCTCCAGGACTGTGTCATAGCAGCACACAGGGAAATCCCAGACTTGTCGCCCTGAGCTTTGTGGGAAGCAGAAATGCTCAGTGTGGGACTGAGGGGTTGCATTACAGGACGTTTAAAGAAAGTGCTCCCAGTTTGGGGCTGAGCTATGGCTTCTGGTGTGCCAACATTTCAGCTGTTGCATGTATCCTGAACTGCAGTATTCATCCCAAAATAAATATTCCTCAAAATAAGTAGAAAACAAACATCTTGGTAATCATTGTCTCTCATCTTGGAAGATGAAAAAGGGACCATTTCTCCCCCACAGATTAGGCATTTTTCTAATTTACTTAGAAAAAGAAAGGCAGGTGCTGCTCACCTGTGTAGGTCAGGAAGGTGACAGTTGCTGCCAGGGCAGGGACCTGGTACATCAGGTGACTCTGGCACAGCTTGAGAAGAACAAGGTGGAAAAAGAAAGCGCAGGTGCCTTCCACAAAGGCAGCATGGTACAGAGCTGTGTGGATGGAGGAGCTGCACTCTGATGCTATCAGGTTCTGGATGAAGTGGAAATGCGTCAGTTCCCACGACCAGTAGAGCTTAGTGAGAGCCCAGCCCATGACCATGCCCGCACCTTGGGCCAGCAGCTTGGCAGCAGTTGCTGCAAGGCTGGACTCAAGGAGCAGGAACTCCTGGACAGAGATGGTCGGGTTGGCAGATGCTCCATCAAAAGAGGCACCGTGAACTGCGAAAAGGAGGAAAAGCAGAGTCAGAACCACATCTGGGCCAAAGCCACCACCCCACAGGCCGATCTCCATCAGCATCCTCAGTTCAAGGCAGCTCATGCACAACTGTAACGAGCCAGCAAGTTCTCTGGCAAGGCAGCTGTATGCTCCAGGAGACAAAAGCCTCTTGGAAAGCTGCCTGAGTGCCTGGCACACCCCAAAAACCAGGAAAAAAAAAGCAATGGAGACATTCAGGCCAGCCATAGCCAAGGCTACATGGAGGAGAGAGAATGAACCAAACCGTGGGAAAGAACAGAGAAAGCTTCTGTACCTGCTCTTTATAAAGCTGCGTGTAAGCAAACGTGGCACAGCCCAACAGGCTTGGGAAATACCACATGTGCTGCCTTCTCCTTTGCAGAGAAATTCCTGCTGCCACAGGGAGCTGATGGGCTCACCCACAGCTGGATCAGCCAAGTTGTTTGTCCCAGCACACAGGTGCCAGTGTTATATCTGCCACATGGTTGCTGAGCCTCCAAGCCACAGCATTCATATCCGAGAACTTGCAGCAGCTCCCCAGAGCTGCTCAGGTCTTCCCGAAGGAGCAGACACCTTCATTTTGTTTCTGCTTGGCATCATAAAACACAACCTACTGCCCCAATCCCAAAGCCTGGGAGGCGAGGGGACTCTTAGGAAGCCAGCAATCCATGTAAGGGGGTCACATTTCTCCAGGGCAGAGCCACTCTAAGCCACAGTAAAGTCTATCTTTAGCCAATGTGAAAGCCTAGCTTGCTTACTGCTTCCTATCCTTGTCTTAAGACCTCACCTCATTTGGTGGGGGTGGTGCTAATTGCACATGCCATTGGTCTGCAGGTGGCATTTTAGTGACAAGTGACATTTCGACTTCTCCTGCTGGTAACTCCCAGCTCCACAAAACCACCTCATGGTGTCATTACCTGACCCCTGAAACCCACACCATCTTAACACATTTGGGTTAGACCTTTGAATACATGATGAAGTCAACAAGCAATCACAGGTGACAATATATGTCACGTTTGTTTCATGCATGACTTGAGTGATTGCATCCCCAGCACAAGCTCCCACCAGGTCACTGGGGAACTCCAGACTCCCACTGCCAGGATCTGTGGGAAGAAAAAGGATGGTGAGTGATGGAACATGCAGGAGCGACACAGGCCATGGCAGGAAGGGTGGGATGGGGTGGATAATGTCACATTATCAGTCTCTCATGGTTAACAGAGCATGAACGTTTCATTAAGGGTCTTCTGGGTCACCTTCCTGCTCTGCAACAGAGATTACACCAAACCTGAGCCCACGTTTCCCATCCCTACAGTCAGAATTGCATCTCCTCAATCACTGGCACGCTGCAGAGATGAACGTACCCAGAGCATGCTCTGCTGTCACGGGAACAAGCGGTGGGTGAGATATACCGTGAAACAGCTGCTGGGCATTGGGACCACCACGCTGGGTACACCATGCCCACACCAAAGCCTGCTCCTGCACCCCTGCACAGGTAGCACTAGCAGGTAATGAGGCTCCTCTCACCACCCCCCTGCATGCGAGGAGCCAACAGCTTTTACTAATGCCATTTTATTTCCTCCCCTAGTCATTTATAAAATAAATTACTAGGAGACACAAGTTTGAGGCACGCTTGAGCCAGGGATGAGGCACAATACAGCTCAAGCTGCCTAAGATCAACACAGACCAACCCATGAAAACCAGGAGTGTAGGCTTCAAAGGTGTCGGAGCTGCTCGGCCTCCCTCCCTTATAGACCTTGCCGCAGCAGAAAAGAAATACATTTTTGTAGGGCACTTTGGACATGTTTGTGAAGGTCACGGCCAGCCTCATCACCTCCTCCTGCAACACCCTCCCTCCCCTCAGCCTCATTTCCACAGTCATTTCTATCACCAAGTGCCCACCCCAGGGTGGTTTTGGGAAGGTCCCCAGCGATCATCGCACACAGCACTTGCTCTGGAGACCTTGGGAAGATTCTAAGGAGAGGGATCACACTGCAAACAGCCCATCGTCCAAGTGCTCCTCTCCCTCCCACCAGAACTGCCCTGGGTATCATAATTTTACCATTTTTAACCCATTTCTCTCTCCAGGAGAGTGGATGAGCATGAATCACCTCAAATGAGCAAATGACCTTGCCCAAATAAAGAAGATGAAACATGTTTTAGGAGACCCATAAAATTAGTATTTTTGGCCTCTGGAAAATTCACCTCTGGTAGCATCAAAATGCTACTCATCACTACAGAACAGACCACAAAAATATTTAACATCACAATCCAATGTTTTTTTCTCCCTCCCCTACTTTTGTGTTCCTCAAAAGTAGAGAAACTACTTAGTAAAGTTTTATCTTTAGAAACAAAACCTTACAAAGACCCAGCGACCAGACAAAAACCAAGTCCCTGGAAGAGACCCACTGGCTCATGGGACACAGGAGATAGATAGTCAGTTTGCACAGAGGAACGTCACAGATCTTTGCATGCCACATCTCAACCCCTTCTATGAGCATTTGAACCTTGGTTTCAAGAGAGGGTTTTGCTAGAGCAGAGAAGAGCTTTCTAACAGCTCCCCTCTGGGGAGCATCTCAGCCACCGAGCAGAGTGCATCCAGATCAACAAAAAAAAGGGGTGTCAACCCATGTCCCCTGCACTAATATTTCTAGCTACTCTTACAAGAGAAAGCTACCATGCACTACTGCCTAAGAAGCAAGTGCATTCTAGTCCCCTTCCTCCAAACACAGCTGTGACATGGAAAGCATTGTGACATCCACGGTAAAACTGGAAAAAAAGTCCCAGCATCTCTTCCTTCCCATGAGAACTGATTTTTTGCCTTCTTTTCAAGCATTTCCAAGCTGAGCCTTAGGAAGTAAGTGTTCAGAAGTCTTTAAAGACTATTTCCCATCCATTGCCTGTAATTATGCCCATGGCACATCCTGCAATTGTGAGACACTTAACCCGGGCTGGAGAGAGGAGCTGGAAGCTGTTGCTTACAAGGATAATTATGGGATTTAACGAGGCCAGTGACAGATACACAAGCAGCTCGTTTCCTACATTGCTTTACTGCCGACAGCAGAAGGGGGCATGCTGCAAGCTCAGTACTAGAGCTCAACTTCAGGCCACTACAAAGGCAAAACCCCTTGAGGAGTCCACATAGCTTTGCACAGCTGCTCTCTGAGAAACAAGACCATCTGAAAATTCAGATACTCCCACCAAAAGCCACGTTTCTGTGGCTGGAATATCAGTGTCTTTTCTAAAGCAAATCTGCTTTCAGTGCTGTCAAGAACTACAGCAGCTTAAAAGGCAGATATTTTAAACAGGGTTTTTTAGCCATGGGATAGGAACAAGGGGGTATTTCCACTGTTAAGTAAAATAAACACTCTCCAAAAACACTTAAGGGTAACAAAAGCTGAACAGAACCACTCTAATGCCACACCCCCACCTCCCCCCATGCTATTTTCACCCCCAAAGAAGCAATAACTACAGCTGAATAAAGTTGTAAGGTTATTTAAGGAGAGTATTACTGGGCAGGGGGTTGGATAAGAGCTTTCCAAGAACAGCCACCTGTTATCAGCTGCTGTGACAAGGCTGCAGAAACCCAGCAGGTTTCCTCCCACAGGCAGCCAGATGAAAACGGCTGAAAGACACCTACAAGTTAGTTGTGCTTCGTGGAAATACCCGAATCCTTAGAAAAAGCATTTGCTGGGAGGAAAAAATAACAAAGATGGATCATCCTTAGCTCTAGAAACATTGGAGGTGAGGCGAGGGAGCCTCGAGGGAGACGGCTGTCCCCAGGAAGGGTATTCTGTTCCTCCTCCAGAAGAGCCTGTGGACATGCCCCAAGTCACATCAGCATTTCCTCCACTGATCCAGTTATAGCGAGACAGACTCATTATTCACAAGCCCTTCAGAAAACACCAGAAATGGGAGACACTGCCTTGAGATATATCTGCACATTGAGACATGCTGTCTGCTATTCCAGTCCCAGCCTCCTCTCTACTGACTCAACACATCTTCTCCAAAGCAGGTTAGCAGCCTTTCAGTATGCCAAAGAGAACGAGCAATCATTAACTTCCCAGCGAGCAAATCCCATTAAGAACAAAAATCATCTGTCCCTACATGCTGTTTCAATAATCAGTCAGTAGGTAAACGGGATCTGAAACAATGTTGTGATGTGCTGGAAGCAATTCCCCCTACAGACACTGGCTAGCAGACAAGAACAGGAAAAAACAGAATCATCTTTACAGTAAGGGAATGACAGCGTGAGAAGCTGCATCAGCACTGCCCTCCTCCCTCATAACTGACTGCAGGTAGAGAAATTACAGTCAGAAATTCATTGTTCTCACTTGTTGATACTTTTCGCCCCCTCAAGGAAAAAAAAAAAAATCCTTCCTTAGGCTGAAGTTCAAAGGAGGGAAAAAAGCTCTTGGAAAAACCTGCTTCCTCCACACATCTGGAGAGCAACATCAAGAATTTAGCTGAGCACAGCAGTTTAATGTACTTTTCTCACATGACTGAGGATGACTATTTTTATTAAAAACAATCTTCAGAGCAAAATGCAAGTTATAAAAATAGGAAAAAGTGCAGCTGTACAAATCCCTGGGAGCAGGCACTTGCAGATAAATACTGTGCTTGCACGAGCCACATGAATCGCACTGAAACCCAAGACTTTTCTTCAGGCACCACTGTGAAAATGCTAATTAGAAATTAAGATCCTTCTCAGTTTTTAGTCATCCTGGTTTTAATCAACATGTTGCTGGCACGGTCCAAATAATTGTGTTCAGCTTGACAGAAGACTCACTGCAAGCAATCAGCAGCCCCAAAAGGGAAAAATCATTGCCCCCAACTGTACTATCTTGAAGGACAAAGTTTTAAGAACCCAACCTTGAATAAATAGATCCAAAACGATGGGGATGCTCTTGGTTTTAGTCTAGGCCAGGTATATGCAAGTTCACATAAGACTTAATAGGATTTATCAAGCAAGCACTAGCAACTTTCAACTTGTGCAAACCCCATTCAGCCAACATCTTTCAAGCAGCACAAAGTACCAATACCCAGATAATTAGCAAGTTCCACTAAGCACCTTCTCCCTCTTATCAACCTTTTCTCCCATAAATTAAATGCAAAATCACTTAAATGCAGAGTTAGAGAACATCAGTTTAAATGCATAAAGGGTCAATTATATATAAAGACAGATTAACCTGAAGAAACAGTGCTTTGTGCAAAAAAACATTCTCATGTCTGGCTGAAAAGGCTTCTGAAGATGAGTGGTTTCTTCATTTTCCTTTGTCAGTGGTATGAGCAAAGCTTGTACAACATGCAAGAAAGAGGAAGAGATGATTTCCCAATAATACATGGGAAACACACGACACAATGAGTCTTTGACATTCACAAGCAAGACAAATTTCATCTGGATTTCAACTGAACTGGTTTCAACCCCAAAGTAAATTTGTTTAGATGTCCTTTTCTTTAGCTAGACTGCCACACCAACACATCACAGCATTTTTTGTAGTTTTGATGAAAAACACAAGCAAGTCTCCATAGCCCACTGCCAGGCACCATCGATCTCATCCCACGTCCTTGGTGAGCTGTTCACACCCAGCTTCCTCACCCCGCTCGGCTCAGCCAGCCAAAGGCAGGGATGGTGCAGAACCAAGAGCCATGTCTTTCAAGCAGGCACCAGGACAGATCATTCCCTGTGTTTATACGTGGGATACTGGGTGATAGTCATGATACAATAACAGTCTTGTTCAGAATAGTTACAGGAACATCATCCTATTGCCATCATCGCTGTTTACTGGCCAATCAGTCCCACCCCAGTCACTACTGAAAGGCTACCTTACAGCAAAGGGATGGTGCAAGATGCGACTGTGATGAACCAGGCTGGTCTTTGCT